TTAGTTACTAAATACTTGTCCAATACGGACACTTCGCTCTGTCCCTTCGGTGTCAGTGTTAGAGAGGTTCGACTGTGGTGAGACTGCACAAAAGAAAACTTTGCAAGTAGTTTCTACAGATATCCAGTTGTGCTGTTACTCTTTTACGAGTTAGGTTACATCACTTTAGTTTCATTATAATATAACCAGACCAATATTATAACTATATCGTATAACGTAATTTCAAGTGCAAATCATGGTGGAAACACAAAAAAGTTCAAGATTGATTATCTTGGCTACGACAGATCTTTCTGATACCCAAAGCAGGGTTGAACAATGTTCAAAAGAATATTCTATAATCGATCTGAGTCACGGAAAAATCTACTAATTTCAAATGCTTTTCTTCTCCCTTTGCTCGAGAGACGTCGGAGATCTAACGGCCTATTCCATATTGACCACGCAGTTTAACAAAGATTCTGAGCCTTGTACCTTATATTTCGGTAACGAGTGAGTGTTTTCTTGAAAGCAAGAAGATTTAGTTGCGAAAAACGATGCTGTTTGCTCAGATCTCTCTGTTTAATAACTTCGAATTGGTCAAGACGAACAACTCAACAAAATATTTTCTTAGTCAAGACAAACAGTTCAACAAATTTTCTTTAAGTCAAGACGAGCAGTTTGACAACATCAAGATTTCTTAGTCAAGACGAACAGTTCAACAACATGTTTTCTCTCAGTCAAGAAGAACAGTTTAACAACATAATTTCTTAGTCAAAACAAACGGATTTACTTTAACAACATGTTTCTTAGTCAAAACAAACAGATTAACAACATGCTTTCTTAGTCAAGACAAACAGTTCAACAACATGTTTCCTCAGTCAAGACAAACGGGCCCCAAACGGTTCAACAACATCTTTTCTTAGTCAAGACAAACGGTTCAACAGCGATCACTAGCTGTCACGGTGATTTTCTATCCAATACGAACGTTTTGTCTGTGTTGCGTTTCAACCACTTTTATACATTTAGGTTTTTAAAATTAATTGAACTTTAAAGTAATCATGAAAAGGACCCCAGTGGGTACAATTTAACCAAACTTATAACGAAAGATCTTTAAAAACTAAAAGAAAAACTTCTGGTTTTTCTCTTACTAAAAATCGTTGAAGGCAAGTTCTACGGTACAACGGGCACGACCGACAGTGTAACTTGAGGCATATGATGAATTCAGCCACCATCGTAATTAAGTGACAGAATTAACTACAGTGATAGTCTTTAAGCTTGCCTAAATTTTGACAACCGTTCTGAAACATTTTTTTCTTTATCTTTTCTTTTTTTTTTTTAAGATGAAAATGCAAAACTAGTTCCCTGATGTATCCTGATAACAAAAAGTATAAAAATAGACCTTTTTTGTATCAAACTAAACACCTCAAAATCTTTTCTCTTTTTATGGGACGTTGATGTAGTTTCTTTTCATTCTGCCTAAAGGGCACGAATGCGGTAAAAACAGAACTCCACTAGATAATACTCCGTCGAATGTTCTTGTTATTAAAATCTGATTGCTCCACGATGTACTAAGTGATTCAATAAATTTAAACAAAATATTTATTTTAAAAAGATGTATAGTGTGTTTTTCGTCTTCTTGAGTTTTCAGTCTGTTGGTATCATTAAATTTTGCTAAATCACTTTTAGTTCTCTGTCTTAAGGGAGAATAGCGATCTGGCAAGAATTAGAAATGCCAAACAACGCCTAACAAGCTCAAGAAGACGGACAACACTACACCCCAAAAAATTCATTAGTATTTCGTTTAAACTTTTGTTACACCATTTACATCACAACATCTCCATTAGTCTGGGCAATCATATTTGGCAACAACAACAACAACAACAAAAGTTTAAACTATTTCCACGTTACTTTCTATTTCCTCGCTACTTTCTCCTTTGCTTTGATCTTGGGTCGTAGAGCTCGAGAACTTAATCTCAATTTCGTTAGCAAACTGGGTCAGTCCCACCTTTGGACCCCTCAGCGCCTTGATCAAGTTTCTGACCGTACTCCCCGCTTTTTCCCCGTAAGCCTTGAGCAACCTTTCTGTGGGATTCTCCGCAGTTTCCCATGCTCTGCATTCAGAGAGAAAGCCAAGTTCATCCCCGATCACCTGCCAGTAATAATAGCCTAAAGCACCGATGAAAGAAAAACAACAACAACAAAAAAACCACTTAATTTTGTTATGTATTCGTCTGTACTGAACCTAACGGAACTATGTCACAATCGGAGGGCGAGGGAAGTGGAAGGGTGCACCCAAAAAAATACGTTTCATACGGGCACGTTTCACCCTGAGGCCCAAATCTTTACCCTTTTATATACCACTTTTTGACATAAAAGGTAACCTTTCAGTATTAGGGATCAGGTTAAAAGCCTGGCTAAAATTTGTCGGTTGACCATTGTATATTTGGAAGCGTAATCAGGCACGGCGCAAATCACTTGCGGTCGGTTTAAGAATCAGATTTAAAATAAATTTTATACGAAAGTTGCTTTGCGACTTAAAATTTATAAGTTTTAGATTTATAAAAATCACAATTCAATCTGCCGACAAGTTTCAGAGAAGAAGAAAAAATCCCTAAGAAATTGGGAAATTGTATCCAAAATATCTGGGTAAAATGATCTTTGAGAGGGGTATCGAATGGTCTTTGCGAGCATTGGCAAGCAGGCGAGCAGTGCTCTTATTTTTGCGAGCACGAGGAGTGATCAAATTTGTCTTGCGAGCAGCGAGCTTTTTAGAAAATACATGTGGCGAGCAGCGAGCACTTCGTAAATTTGCGCTAACAGAAATCTCTCTTTTGTTTTACAAGAGGAAACGTTGTTTTATGCCAAGTAATCTGGCTGACACCTCTAAAACATGGCGATAGGCGCAAAACTAGGCAAAACATTGAGATCTTATCGCGGTTGAACCAATCCCAGCAGTTTATAGCCAATTATGCCTTGTTTGATGCTGTTTGATGCCAAATTACGTCACGTAGCCTCACGTGAGTCAGAGGGTTAACGTTCAAAAATATCTAAAGCTTTTTAACCCAAGCTTAAAGCTACCGGACTTTGGAGCAGGATTTACGAAATTTGGAGCAATCGAGCACATTTTAACGAGAATCCGAGCATCCGAGCAGTTGCATAAATTTTGCGAGCACGAGCAAGCGAGCACTCATCTAGTTTTTGCGAGCAATTCCAGCAAAGCCCAAATTTTGCGAATACTTTTAAATTGAATGGAACCATTCGATATGATGACACGTCACGTGCATTGCGCTCCTGGCGGGATCTGTTTTTAGGCCCACCTCGTTCCCATGGTCTCTCTTTTTCCATCCCCTGGGGAGAGAGGGAGAGGAAGAGGAGGGACCCAGCTGGGAACGAGGTTACAGCTCGTCTTGCTTTCTTACTTACTGTTTACCCGCAAATTATGATGACAAAAAGTCGGCTCAAAATTATAAAGCAGACAGAACCATGTGCATGACGAACATCTGCTTACCAAAGCTGTTTCTGCCATTGAGCCTCTGGGCTATGAACATTTTCCCGTCGATTGTAAGATCTTTAATGGGAAGATCTAAACCTGGAATAAGGAAACAATGAAAAGGAACCATTAGTTTCTGAGAGCAATACGCGTTGTATGCATAGTAGAGAGGATACCAAAAAGTATTATCATTAATTAAACAATAATAGAGTGTTACTGGAGGCACTGGAGACTGAACTGAAAAATTGCCTGCAAATTTCAATAGCCATCCGAGAAGTGAAGCTTCGAGGGTAGTTTGAACGTAATAAGGGATACCNAAAAAAAAAAAAAAAAAAAAAACTCAACTACAGTTTCTACTGTGTACATTTCTGATGGAAAGAGAATCGATTTCCACATCTAGTGGGACTACTGCATCTCTCTGCAAGGGGAAGGGAATGGGGCTAAAGGGGGGGAGGGGGTGGGTATGTAGTTTTACATATATATGTATTTATATTTAGTATAATTATTCCAGAGCTGAACAAAGAGTTTCCAGCAATCTAATTGGTCGAGCGATTCCTTATATGACGCTATATTCACCGCTCCAGGCGTTAGCTCGCCACCTTTGCCATTTCGGCAAGTAAACATGGCGGACAGTTGCTGAATCAAATTTTTACTTATTCGAAAGACATTACTCCAAGTCCAGGATTTTTGGAAGGATGGAGAATTTTCAAAATGACTGCTGTCACCCTTGGACCAAAAATCCTTTCCAGAACTCTTATTCAAGGAATTTAAGAATCGCAAACGCAGTGGTTACGTTGATCGCCAGCAGGTCAGATCGATTGACCGAAATTTATTTTTCTTCAAACTAAAGCTACTCATTTTAAGACGATGATGACAGCTGTGAATGAAGTCAACAACGATAAAACAAAGGTACGGGATGAATTTATTTTTCGTAGTGTTTCGCTTGTCTGTTTTACTGCCGAACTTGATGAGTAAATTGATTCATAATCGATGTAAGTTTACATGTAAGCTTATTATTAAAACTACGGCTGCATGTTCACCTCGCCTTCCGCGAATAATTGTTAAATATAGAACACTCGCTATTATCACCTTGCATCAGTGGAATAACTTCTTGCCGATCTCTTGTTTCTTCGTCTGACCTAGCATTCGCAGCACGATTTCTTCGACATGTCTGGTTTCTTTTTTTTCTTCTGTAGCAAAAAATCATCAAAATCGTTATTGCTATTAGGACAACCACACCAATGCTAATGCCGATCCAAAGCCAATGATTTTTAACTATTGTGGTTTCCTGTGGTGAAGGAGAATCTCCATCAATTTGATTTGGTGGAGTTGGTGGTTTTACCGATGGCTTGAAAATACGTTTGGAGACTTCTTTCGGTGTAGAATCTGTTGAAGAATTACATCAGGTTAAAAAATCATTTTAGAAAATACAGCTGTAGCCCAAAAGAAAATACGCGCGCTGATTGGTTTAAAATCGGGTTTCTATCACTCAATTGAAACACAGAACTAGCACGAGCTGTTGCGGTAATGATGGCTTGATTAAAGAAAATTTAAATTTTGATGACCAAAGTAAACAAAGAAATTGAAAACATGTTGTCCGTGTTTTTATCGAGTTATAGAAACACGAGTAGAAGGTTGGAAGAACTCGAAAAAGCTGCTCCTCGTTTTCTCAAACTTCCACTCGTGTTTAAATAACTCCGTCGATATAAACACGGAGAACATGTTTTCTCTTTCTTAAATGAGAGTCCTAAACGAAAAACCTTTAAATCCATTTCTTCAAAACGTCCTTGTAACTTGAAAATGCGCCTTTTAAAAAAGGTGAAATGGTCAACTTATGCCCTATTTCGAACGGCCTTATGCGCCTACTGGCGCCCCGAGAACTGACTGATGCCTACTGAGGTCTGTATGTGAATATAAGCTAATATAACTTCAGTTGATCCCAACATCATATCTACTACACAGTAATTAAGGTCTAGGTAATTAGTTGATCGTGTTTCTTCGGTAAGCAGACTGTGAGGAAAACACGTGAATAATTTTAATTTCATAACAAATAAAAATGTATGCAGTAAGAAAAATAAACTTACTAGTGGCCAGAATTGTCGGTACAAAGGCTTTCGGTGAACAGGTCCTGTCGTGATCAGTGGTGCATGGTCTTGTCTCAATTTTATTAAAGCTGCAAGGTGACGAACATTCTTCGCACCCTTCAGTGCCAGGGTTAAGAAAATAACCGTCGAGACAACCATCGCACACCCGTTTGGAGTAAACGGTGCATTTGTTAACTTCTTTCGCATTGGTTAAAGGACAATGTGAAGATTCGTCGCATCTGACAAGAAAGAATAGATTTTTCAAACAGGAGATACGGTTATTAGTTCAAGTTATAATGGCTGAGCCAATCTTACGATATAAAATCTCACCATAGGTTATTTTCTCTCTTATTGCCATGTTTATTGTATATTCTCTGATTTATTAATAATTCATTAAATTTAAACAAAGGAAATCAAGATCGTGACGGTGTTTGGATATCTGATCTTAACTAACATAGATTTTTAAGATTTTAATTCTCCTTTTTCTTCTTAGTTTAAGTTTCGATTGAGAAGATATATCAAACACCCGAGAAAGTGTTTGACCACATTTTTAAACGCTTCAAAGTTCGTCAAAAATTCTCCGCTACGCGTCGTATTTTCCACTCTCTTCTCGGTGTTTGGAAATGTGGTCAAACACGGTCTTGAGGGTTTGATATATTTCATAACAAAAACTACAATGCAACAAATTATGTCTACGTAAGGTCGTGATCAGTTGTAAGATGGCTACTGATTTACTATGCAAATCGTGATTGGAAGGAGATCTTAGCTTGAATAAGCTCTTCTAAGCAAGGCGAAGCCTTGGGAACGAAGTTACTCTTCTATGAGGATCTTCTGGATGTCACGTATGCAGTACATGTAGCTGCAGATGGATTTAATTTTATTTTATTATCAATTTTAGAAGAATTTTCTAAACTCAAGGCGATGTTAAAGGTTCCATGGAAAAATATATATATTCCTTTTCAACAGTAGACTAAGAGATTCACAATGGATACCCAGACTATCATTCGGCCTTGGCAACAGAAAATGGGTAGATGTCCCCTCATTTTCTCTTGGTCTTGTTGGATTACCAAAAACAATTAAAGAAGTCACAACGCTTTCTAATTCCAAGAACCGTATTAATTAAGACACATTTTGCAAGCTAAGAAGTCTGTTCCATTTGGTTGTCATAAGATGTGTTTCGTACCTCTCATTGAAGATATACATTGTTATTAGACTTAATTAGACTTTCTAACTTTGTTATGTATATGCATGGTACTTTGATTATAATAGTCATGCAGGGCTCCAACTGATACCAGCCTAGCTAGAGTTGAAGGGGCTATCCTGCTTCAATAAAGTTGACTTTGAATTGTCGTTTTGGCTATTTGGCAGTCATACTGCAAATCATCAACTTTATAGTGTTCACTGATCTCTATACGACGGCTCAAAGCGATAGTACAATTCGTAAACTCTATTAAAATAAAACTCTTTCCTGTTACTAAAGACTTACCCTAAACAGCTTTCAAACCCTGTGGTATCCGAATAATCATACCCCGCGATACAGGCTTCACACTCTGTATCTAATTTCTTCGAACAGTTGGTTTTCACGCCGTGGCCAGGAGGGCAAAGTGAACAGGAAACACAGTGCGTCCCATTCCAGAATTGTGACTGAAGGCAGTCATCAACGGCCGCCAGCTAAAAGTTAAAATAATAACAATCATCATCATCATCATCATCATCATC